TGTTGGCTGAGAGTTCAATATCAATGAATCAACAATATATATGAAATAAGACGTCTAAACAGAAAGACACATAAAACAAAGTTATATATTGAAAGAATGATTAAACTGTTGTTACCAAAGGTGGCAGAAAACTAACTCTGTATTTCCCGAAGGGCCAGGGGATCAGTATTTACTAATTCAGTGTTCACAATGACTGTGGAGAACATAGCTATGTGAGTAATGAGAAGCAACTGTACTTGGAACAGTCTCGTTTTATTTTACATTTAAATCTACATTTCACAAATGGGGTGCCTAATTCTCATAAGGCTGAGCCATGCCCCAGGCCCCATATTTACTAAGTGACAGAGCCAGGATTTCAACACAAATGTTCTGACTCCCTCTCCCATCATATTTCTACCCTGAAATGCAGCAGATGCTAACATAGTGGAAATGCTTGCATCCCTTGGGCCAGGTCTTAGAAATCTACAGTCAGCTGTTCCGCAGACTGAGAGATAATTCGTGCAAGTCAGCTAGGATGACTTAGTGTTCTCTTTACTGAAAGAAGTGGCTGGGTAAAGACCTATAATCTGCCTGAATCCACTTGAGCTGGGCTTTATGTAGATGTGGTTTATCTGTGACCTAAGATTCAAAGTGAGTTGGGAGTTGCTGGAGGAGCCCAGAATCTGGATACTCAGATGCAGCAGTGCCTGATTGCCCCGAGTCAGACAGCAGCAGCCTCGCTGTGTGCACAGTTAAGATTCCCCTCCTAGTACTGCATCTCGCCTCCTCCCTTGGAGTCCTGTTATATTTCTTAAAAAGGAAACCCAAGCAAGCTACAGCATCCTACTCTGGCGTGGTTTTTTTGGTTTCGTGGATTCTGACTGAGCATTCAGCTAGTTCACATGAAAACATTAACACAACTAGTGAGTGATGTGTATGTGTGTGTGTGTGTGTGTGTCAAATTAGGTAAGAAAGGAGACAAAACATTGAAAGAAAGAAGAATGTTTCCCACTGGATAGGCTGACATTGACTGTCTCCACGAAATCTCCATCAAGCCTGCCACGTTGTGAGTAGAGAGTCCTCCCAGACGATGCTCCCCAAAGAAAGGAGAATCAAAGTGGAAATGGATCAGAGGAGCAGCAGCTCCAGGCTCACTGTCTTAGTTCCCCAGTTTCTTCCAAGGTCTCCCCATCATGGATACTTACGGACCCTGTAACCTTTCTTTTGGCTGTACCATTGGGGTCTGTACCTAGACCCACATTCCCCACAAACAGGTGCATGGCAAAGGCTCAAAGGAATGAGATAAGCAGCGTGGTCTTTAGGGCTGCAGGAGGAGTGAGATCTCTGCAGAGCTCATAACTCTGCTAGCCAGCTAATGCTAGGCAGCCCGTATTTAATCAGAACAAGCAAGGAGTTGAGTGGACAATGGAGGAAACCTGAGCAGATTCTTGAGAGGATTCAAGGACTCCTCAGAGCAATAGAAGATATCAATTAAAGGAAAACTATCCAGAAAGTCTCCAGGTGGCCTCAGCTATGGCCTATCTTGCACCCTGAGATGTCTCCTCGTTCTCAGTTCAATCATGCCCAAACTACTCCACAGCCCTGCCTGTGTATTCAGCTACAACAGTCCCAACAGCCTACCTTTTAACAACATTGTGAGATTTGCTATTAAAAGGGACTCAACAGCCTAGCTCATCAGCACCCACCCAGAGCAAGGATATTCACTCAGGCCATATTAAGAAAGGGTCCTTGAACCTCTACTCAAACACTGCCTTGCCTTCGATGGTGATGGGATTACTATGGGTGGCGGGGAGAGCTCCATTAGTGAAGCTGTCTGCAAACTCTGGCCTGTGGATCAAAGTGGCTGTGCCACCAGCTTTTGTAAACAATGCTTTCATTGCACCCAGCCATTCTAATTATGTGTTTGTGGTGACTACTTTCATACTACAGGGGCAGAGTTGAGTAGTTGTGATGGGGACAGAATGACCCATGAAGCTTAGAATATCTGTTGTCTGTCTGTTTGTGGAGTAGTTTCTTGACTCCTGCTTTAATGAAACATATGCATTTTCTTACTTTACATCACAATCTGAAATCTGCCTTGGGGATCATAGTTCTCCACCTTGAGGACCACAAAAGCTGTATTCAACCACTCTCCATCCAACCACTCTCCCCTTTCTGCTTCTGTGTAGACAATCGCTGGGATTTGATCTTGGCTCTCTTTGTCAAGATGGAAATCCCTTCCTGTTCAGTCTCTGAACTCGAGTTCACACCTGCCAGATCTTGTCCTGCGTCTGAGGAAGGGACAGATTCTCCTGCTGAATCCCATCCCATCCATAACTGCTCCCCAGAATCTTCAGGCATTTAAACTTACTTAAACACAGAGCACTAGATGAGTCTTGCACTTGTTCAACCATCAATTCCCCTTAGGAAAAGCCTGCCTAGGGAGGTAGGCTTTGTGCATCCGCCATTGTGTAGCCCCCAACAAACTGGGGAGGTAACTGCAAGTAAATGCAGACAAGTAGGGGAGAGTTTCAGTTCAGCTTGGCTGGATATTAGAATCAATGTCTGCTGTAGCCAAAAAGAAAAAGAAAAAGCTTACCAACCAATTCTTTACTTACACATGCATAGGCAGAGTCCCAGAGAGTTTCTGCAATTTGCCTAAGGCCACAAAATTGAGCAGTGGTGGGAGTCAGACTGGTCCTCTGGATCCTGACTCCAAGATCACACTTTACACAATTGTTTTTTCTTCCTGTGGCTAATTCCCTCAGAATCACAGTCTGAAAGGTCTTAACATAAACTGCAAGAGGCATACATATTTTCTAGGCCATAGTATCCTATATTCTCAGATTCGCTGTCTTCCAATCTTACCCTTTCCCTCTCTGAGACTCCAGATTCAGGGCCAGGATGTTCAAAAGAAATGATCAATCTTCATCTACTTGCTAGAATTTATTGAGCACTTACTACACACCCAACACCCTGACAAATGATTCGACACTGACCATCTCATTTAACCCTTATGATAACAATAGGATAGGTTGATATTATTATTATCCTCATTGTATTAATAAGGAACTACAGTGTTAGAAAGTTACTTAAGTGGTGGTTTGGTAGGACTAGAATTCCAAGCTAGACAGTCCTACTCCTTTATCCCATGTCCTTCTGCCTCTCACTAATGGAATCATCATTGAAAACTTCTTGACTGCATTACATGGCGTCAGGTCCCTTCACAGAGCTGGATGGGAGTCTGTTTGGCCTTTCTCTAATATCGTATTCTTCTGCTGCTCTCATGGTCAATCAAGCAATGATGGTTTTTTTCTGCTCAATCAGCAAAGATCTATAATGGATACATAGCGATTCGACTTTTCCTCTTCCCTTTTAACTCTTATTTTTTTCTCTTCCCTTAAAAGACTTAGATCATACACACACACACACACACACACACACACACACACACACACACAAGTATTTCCAGCTCAGCTGAGGGCACACAAGAATAGCTTCTTCCCTTAAGCTTGCTGCTCTGTGAAAGACACATTTGATGCCACTCCTTTAGCAGTCACCCTGCCCTGACTTGTAGAGACAGACAAATGTGGACCCTGGACTCAGCTCTGCTCACATTGGACTTTGTATGTAGCGCACTGAGTGATGCTGGAACACAAAGAAAAAATTCAGTCCCTTCCTTCCTTCTTGGAAAAGAAAAACATGTGAACAGTGCATATGAAAAGTAAGTGGGACCCAAGGTCCACTAGGAAGCCCGGGGAAGGGACACTCAGTGCAGCTTGAGGGCAGGGAAGGTTCCAGAAATGCTTGAGCTGAAGTCTTTAAAACTCAGTAAGACCCACCCAAATCCAGGAAGAAGACAGAGTATGCAGCCGCCTGAGGATGTAAGAATCTCTCGAGCGATGAGATCAAAGTTCCTTTAGTCATATAACATATACCACACAGGGACCTCCCGGTCCTTTTTGGGGTTGGGGGGAGGCAGTCGTGAGAACTGAATCCAAAGCCTTCTTACCCTACACCCCCAGGCCCTCCACAGCCCCTTTAACATTTTGAGACAGGGCCTCACTGTGTTGTTAAATTGCCCAGGCTGAACTTGGACTTGTAATTCCTCTGACTCGGCCTCTCAGAGTGCTAGGACCGCAGGTTTGTGTGACCACCCCTGGCCTCCATCCATAAACGCCTTATAAATGTTATCTCATTTTAGAATCACAACCAAATACCAGGGAAGTCGGCATCCATAGGCAGAGATAAGCTGTTCATTGTCCAATTTCATGCAGAAAGGGATAAAAGGGAAGCCTAAAAAGTGCTGGTTCTGATACACAAGGCTGTGTTGTTAACCTCTGCATACACTTCTGTGGTACCAGTGCTCAGTCTGCTCTGTACCTGGCCCTCAGACTGCCTCAGTAGGGTCCCGGCTGGGCCAGATACAGACACAGGCACCAACTGTGTAAGCCTTTCTCATCCACCTCTTAGCTCAGTGTGCCCAAAAGAGGTGGGACTGGCCATCAAATTTGATGTCTTCGAGAGGTCCACACCAATCCTGATCATAACTTACCTCGCTTGACACGGAAGCTGAGCCTCCCGTGTTTTTCCCACACCTACTCCCTGGGCTACACAGCACTACAACGATGCCAAGTGTTTGTGCACTTGCTCGACAGCTAATGCTCCATCCTGGCCCTCCCTGTCACACTCTGGAAATGCTGGCACCTTCACAGGGCCCCCAGATGAGCAGGCAGGACCTATATTTCTCTTCCTGCTTTTTCCAGCCTCCTGCTCTCCACCTTGCAGGGCTGGCTCATACGTCTGGATGCCAGTCCATTGGCAGGGCCAGGTAGCTCTGCAGTCCCTCAGAGTGCCCAGTGCATCTGCCCCTTCCCTCTAATTTCCTCTGTTCTGAAGTCAGATTAAACTCCAGATCTGCCTCAGCACAACATGGGCCTGGAAGTTGCCAAATATTTTAGTAATGAAATCACCATTGATGAATAAATGTTTTATTTCTTTTAGACACCTTATGAGTCCAAAGTATCCAGAATTTAACAAAATAAAAACCCAGAGGCATCAGGTTTTTGATAATTAACCAAAGCCTAGAAGGCAGAACTGATGTAAAACCCAGGTCCAAAGCAAAGCAGGCTGAGCTGCAGATTAGAGCCTGTGTCTGCACCTCCCTATGGGCCCAACAGCTGGGGCTCAGCTGAGGCAGCCTGAAGGCCAGGTGTGAGATGGGAAAACCAGACCTCCTCAGCACGAAAGTCAGATGCTAGGGTTAAAAGAGTCCTTGTGAGGCCAATAAGCAGCCAGTTTGTTCTCCGGCAGATCCCAAGGGGGTTCATTACAGTAGGACAATCTTCTTAAGTTAAGCCCAGGGTTTTCTTCTCTCTGGTCCTATATCTGAGCAGAGTCAAGCTCTGAAAGACAGTTCCTGGGTCAGGTAGACCATTCTCCGGGGAGCAGGTGAGTTTGAATCTGAAGAGCCAGATGGAGGGATGACTCAGTTGCTTTACTGACCGTGTGACCCACGATGAAATCCCAGTCTCCCTGAATTTGTTCTTCACATTCTATAGGATGAACATCCTGCAGAGACCAGGAAAGCCTGGCTGTGAACCGGCTGGGCCAACACAGAATGGGTGCCGCACGCCTCTGCCCCGATCAGAGATGTCCTTGTTTGTAGTTCAGCCCCTTTTTACTGTCAGAGAACACTCAGAACCTAAAATTATATTATCATACTTAATTCACAAGTCATTCTCTTTTTTTGTTGTTTTGTTTTGGTTAAAACTCTTTAAAAAGAAATGCTGTATTTTTTAATCATGGTGTACTTAACACAACATACAGCAAACATGTTGAACAAAAATTTGTCAGATGACTCTATATTCCCATGTACCTGGTGGCATAAAGAAATTTCTACATAGATTTAATTAAAATCTGTTTCTCTGCCTCTCTCTCCTTTTTTGGCCCTTCCATCATTTTGCTCACTGACTTAGCAAATATTTGCTGGACACTTCTTTGATACCAGCATGCTCCAGGCACTGTGGAGGATGTTCAGCATAGCAAGTCTGGTCTTCACAGTCCGCCAGTCCTACAGGAATGCTGGCACAGTATTCATACTGAGGGCAGTATGGGCTGTGTCCTGAAAGGGTAGCTATCTTGTTCAAAGTGCTGTGTGGATTTAGAGGAAACAGAGGTACTTGAGGTCACAGCAGCAGGTTTGTGGAACAAATTGCCTTTGAACAGGACCTTTAGATTTGTTTTACTTTAGCCTGAGCTCAAAAATGGACCCACAATTTCCCCAAATAGTGGGTGGCAAATGATTACGATGCAGGCAGGAGTAAGGGGAAAAGGATTCAGCTGTTGGCCAGTAAATTATTCAATTCTGTTTCCGTGGTGTGAATAGAAACATTGCTCCACCAAGCCTCAAAAAGCTGGGACCAAGATGAAGATTATTCAAGACCCAAAACTCAGCCATGAACTACCTTGTCTTGTTTTGCTACTCATTCAGTGTCTGTCTTGGTTACTTTTCTCTCATCGCCGAGGCAAAATTCCCAATACCCCAAATTAAGAAATGGAAGGTTTATTTAGCTCACAGTGTGTGGAGGTTTCAGTCCATACTCAGCTGGCTCCCAGGCAGGTGGCATGATGAGGGGCAACCGTTCATGGCAGCAAAGGACAGCAAAAGAACCCTGAGCAAAAAGGGAGACATGAGAGAGGACTCTTCCTGTCCCTATATTATATGTAGGCCACCACCAGGTAGCACTCACACCCATAATCCCAGCACTAGGTAATGAATCAGTCACAAACTCTAGATTCAGCTGCTTCTGAAAAGCGCCACCATGGCTGCATGAGGCTCTGGTGGGACATCCAGGCAGAAACCATAACAGTGCCCCAGCATTCATGTGACCAGCTTGTTTCTGTGTCTGCTACTCTCTATATAAATGGCTCTGCACACTCACTTAGCACTCAGCCAACTACCTCATACAAAGGAATGGATCCAAGTAAGTTGGCAACAATGACTAGGTAAACCAAGGCAAGAGGCTGCTTTCCTGTCTATGGATTGACTTTCCTTGAGTGGTGGCCAAGTCTCATTCAATCAGCTATGCTAGAAACAGTGAAATCACGTGGTACAATATGATACTTGTTTAAGGAACCACTGATACTCACCTCCTTCTGCAGGGCTCAAAGCAGACACTACTACACGCAGGTATTAATAGGCCACACACTTTGAATGACTAGCTCAGCATAACCCTAAGGTTTGGGTACCACTTTTATGGGAGGAGATAATAAGTGAGGTGCAGGGAGACAGGAAAAGGGAGCAAACATTCCAGTGCAAAGAAAAGGATCAGTAAAGTCTAAGAAACAGCAATGTGCAGAACAAAATCATCCCTCTACATTCTACACTATGTGATCTTCGTTTGTATAGAGAGGGGCTAGCGAGGTTCCAGAGAACCAAGATCATTTATCAAGTGATAAATATTACCTTTGGTGAAAATAACCATTAATTCAGGAACAAGTAGCTTTATAGTTCTGAAACTCAAAAAGGAGAAGGTACAGCATTGAAAATGTTGGAACCTCTAATTTTAAAATAAGATCAATGCAATCTACCAAGAACAGCATAGGGCAGCACTGCTTGGAAGCAGGGATTTGCCCTCAGAGACCTGTTAAAAAGGATATTGGTAATTAGCATTTATTCCCAATGACTGTGGAAAGGCACATGTCTTAGTCCTCCAAAGACATCATTAAACATTAGGCAGAAGTGGAAGGGGTCATTAGCAGATCAGAGAGTTCAACAAAGACAGAAGGAAATTATTTGGTAAGTATTGATGGACAACAGATCAAATGCAGCCTCAAATACAGGTATAATTGGCTACATGGAGGAAGGGGTTGCATTTCTAGGCAGGGCCAATGCAGTGGAAGCCAGAGCCCAAATGCAACAAAAATTAGATACGTGCTGGTGGAATAATTTACCTCCACATATGCAGACTGCTGGTTGTTAGTGGCTTGCCCTGTGGAAAGAAGGAAAAAAGAAAACATCTTCAGTAACTTAAAGCAAACTATCTAGGAAGGACATGAACCTTCACTGTAAGGGCTTATGTCCACAAGTAAAACCTACCAAATGTGGATATTTGGGAAACCCTCAAGACAAAGGCTCCCAGTCTCTGTACCCTAAGAAGATCTGCCAATCAAGAAGTCCAAAGTGTCAAAGTGGCACACGTTTGCAATTCCAGCATCATTGGGAGGCTGAGGCAGGAGGATAACAAATTTGAGTCCAGCCTGGGGAACTTAGCAAAAACCTGTTTCAAAATAGTTTGGAGATGTAACAGTGTGCAAAAGCTCGAGGTTTAATCCCCAGTGCAATAATCATAGTAATAATAATAACTCCTTGCCAGGTATAGAGAATGCCTAGTCAGCCTTTTCCCGTTGTCAACCAAAGAAATGATAGGACAAGAAAAGTCTGGAATTTATGGTGCAAACTCAGACTTGCAGTTGCAGGCTTTCAGGCTTTGATGGTGGAATTAAAAAGAAACCCTGAAGCAGTAAAACAAGATCAAGTTACAGTTTTTCAAATATCAAAGAACAATAAGTATCTCTTGGAAATAAAAAATATAATTTCCCTAAGGTGAGAATTAATAAACAAAAGCACTAGAAAATAGAGCAAGGACAACTTTGAGAATGTAGAACAACAGAAAAAGGATATAAATTATGAGGTAAAAAAGATATAATATTCACTTCAGAAAGTCTGCACTGAATGGCCAAGGTGTGTAAAGAAAGGAACACAGTACCAATGAGGAAGAGAAAAAGTTAACCTGTATTTAGAATCATAACTACCAACCCTATAAAGAAACTAATAAAACTATGGGGTGGGGGAGTCAGCACCATACTCCTCATCAGGGAAACTGAATAATGGGGTGTCAGTATCTCAGAAGCTGGGGGAATGTTATATGTTAACTGGAAATTTACAACCAAGTAATGTATCAACCAAATATGAAAAAAAAAATAAAAGTATTTGATACATATGAAAGTTGAAGCAGCATAGATTGCACAGATCTGCTTTTTTTACCTTAAAACAGGTAAAATTAAACATAACAAAACAGAAAAAAACAGATCATAAGAAAACAGTGTAAGAGAGCAGATTTCAAAGCAAGACAACTAGAGATCTTCACTGTCTATCATACTGTCTCTTGCTTTCTTCAAAATAGTTGTCCATATCATCACATACAATGAACTCATATAAAACAAAATAGTATAGAACTGATCAGAACAGGATGATGAAGGCATTTTAGGTCTTCAAGACCAGACAATAGGGAAGTCAACAATGGCTGTCATAATGTCTCTCGTTCTCTTCAAAATAGCTGTCCATATCTTTGAGTATGGACAATACAAAACAGACTAAAACCACTCTGAACAAAGAATAATAGTATTGCTGGATTGCACATCATGATGCTACAGAATCAGCACTGGGTACTACAGTGTTTCTTTTTCTTCAAAGTAGCTGTTCATTTCATGGTGCATTATGTAATCGATTCTCATAAACTTTTTAGAAGTTCTACACATGCATGAGTTTCTACATGTATACCTATCCTTTTAGCATTAGAGGGAAAAACAAAACAAAAAAGACAAAACAAAACAAATTTCCAGAAAAACACAAAATGAAAAAGACATACAAACAATCATAGCAAAGAGCCCAGAACACTGACAATATAGTCCTTCAAAACAAGATGATATGAGCATAACTAGGGTTGTTATTTTACATAATGATCTTCAAGAAAAACTCAGATCACCATACAATAGTACGAACAATTGTTCCAATCCTATGAATGTTAGCTATTTTGTTCCAAGAATTTATCTGCTTTTTAAAAGTTATTTTAGGACGAACTTCAACAAAACAGAGTAGGGAACTATGCACAATTTAAAGAGAGAAATTGTAGAATTAAAGAAAGAAGGATGATATTCAGAAAATAATAGACTCAATCCAGGAAACAATATCTAAAAGTCCTAGAATTGCAGCTGAGGTACGGGCTGGGTGGAGGAGACCGAGCCCTCCAAGAAAGAAATGCTAAAAGATCAAAATGAAACAAAAACCAAAAAACAACAAAAGTCCCAGCAGTGGGAAGAAGAGTTGGAGAAGGGGCAGAATAGAACAGCGTTTGAAAAGACTTTAGCAACGTGAAAAAACACCAAAACCACGGACATAAATGAAGGCACTTTATTTATAAAGGAAGGTACTTAGAGACCTCAAGGAAAACACAAAGTTCTCAAGAAACTCATGGTCCAAATAGGAAGCAGCTGGCACAGAATAGGAGATCATTTTCCCCGAGAAAGAGATGAAATGGATTCTGAACAAAAAAGAGATTGAGTGGTAAAAGGAACAAGGTGAAAGGTTTAAGTTTCTTCCTTTAACAAGAAAAATGTAAAACACTCCATAATCCCAGGTTGGCGTTGCGGAAAACCAGATGCAAGAAAGGCAGAACTCAAATATGAAATTTACTTTTTTAAAAAAAGACATGATTTTGAGCAATTGGTGGAACATAAACAAGAATAATCTTTGAAATTTTTCCTTTGAATTGCACAGAAGACATCATAATTGTAAAAAGTGTAATTGGACTCGGTCATTAATTGGCTCTGCAGTACAAAGGTCAGCACCTCCTCGTGGTAAATTGTATTGGTTTCCACATTCAGAGCAATTTAGAGTCAAAGCAAAGAAAACTTAATGACAGTTCCAAAATACAATGTATGTACTCCTAAACCCAGTGGTGTCCACTTCAGCGCACAGGCACGGAGAGGGGATGAAAGTGAGGAGGACGGAGGGGCTTTGTGGCTCTCATCACACGAAGAGACACCGTCTTACCTGCCTTCCTGCAACACGGAGGTTAAGTGCAGGGTAAGCGGTTTAAGCACAATTTCATGCTATCACAAGACACAGGGGTTTAAGCAACACTTCAAAGCTGAAGGAATTGAAAAGTAAGCAACATCATTCTTTAGAAGGATGAAAGAGGAAAGATCAGTCTAAATAAACTAAATTCACATCCATCGTAGGAGAAAGTCACCTGAGGCTGTCCCAGGCTGAGCGTGCTGACTGTACCATTTAGCATGCAGTAGGAGCCGGACTAAATCCAGAAGACAACAGCGAGTTTACTTCTGAGGAGAGCGGTGAGTTTGAGGGTGGATGGGATGGGTGGGGTATGGCATAGGGCCCTGGAGGAGACAATCACATTTGTAATTTATATATATATATATCTTCCTCAAATGACTAAATATATTAAAATCAAAAGTGTATGTATCTCTGATTTTATTATTTTATTTAGTTTTAATTTTTATTTTTTACACGAGGGATGGAACCCATGACCTTGCACTTAGCAGGCAGGCACTTGAGCCGCTGGGTGTCTCTCTGATTTCTGACGAATGAGCAGGATAGTTACATGTTATCCAAGCACGGTCTACCCAGGGCACTGAGTATCATCCTTAGCTGAATCGTTTGTATCATCTTGCATGCCTGTTCCGCTTTTTTCTCTCTGCAGTGTGCCTACCAGCACCGTTTCAGAGGACACCCCAAGCTGTGCCTCCTGGTGGCCTTTATGTGAACAGCTTTGCTCCCCCAGGTCCTTCCAGCAGGGCCCACCAACCAAGCAAGGACTGAAGCGTGTAAAGTGAACCACACTGTGAGGAGCAGACCCTGCCCTCGGATGAGAAAGCAGACTCTGGGCCAGAGAAGTGGCACCCACCCCACCCCGCCCCAAAGAAGCGAGAAGGCCCTTCCCTCGAGGGGCAGCACCCCAACCCCACAGAAATGAAAAGACCTGAGCAACGGGCAGAGCGATGCCCTTCCCTCGTGGAGCGAGACCCGGGGCAGCAGAGGCAAGGAAAACCCAGTCACCAGACCACAAAACTGAGGACATGAAGTCCAACAGCACACCCAAAACCCTGCGCTGTGGTCTACATCCCATGGAGACCAGAGGGCTGATCCTGCTCTCCACCCAGCCACAGAGCAAGGGTATCCCCTCACTTGTTTGGTAACCGGCCTGGGGGAGCACACAGAGGGCCCTCTCCTACAAGGAAGGCATTGCAAAACTCCTAGGTCCTAAGGCCAGACAGAAAATCCTGGTTCCTGCGTCCCGGGACTGCGGATCTTGCAAAGAAAATGCTCATTTGATGACACAGGAATTTTTTTCCTTTGATTCAATCTTTTTTTTTGATTTTGTATTATTTTTGTATTTCCTTCATCAAGTTTTGGGGGAGTCTGAAGTTTTTTCTCCCCTTTTAGTTTCTTTTCTCTTTCTCCTCTCCAATTTTTTCTCCTGTTTTTTATATTTTCTTTCTCTCTTTTTCTTGTTCTGTTTATCTTCTTTCTTCTTTTTCTTATTTATTTTTTCCAGCAACTTTTGTCTATTACTGTTAATTTCCTTTTACTTCTCCACAGGCAGGACCTTGTATCTTACTTTTCTCTCCTCCTGCTTATATCTCATCAATGAATTTTTTTAAACTTTGATTTTTCATTCTCCAGTCCCCTACCTCCTCCACCTTTACTGGTAAAACATCTAAGCTTTATGAACCTCTAGACAGACAGAAAACTTTACACTATTGCTATTGATACTATTGTTAATACAAGTAAAGTTGCTCCACTTAGTAAATATTTATAGTATGCCAATAAATAATAGGTCAATATTTTGTCTTTGTATTCTTACTAGAATTAGAGATCTCTTTTGTATGAGCCAGGGTGGGTACTTTATTGATTCTCAGGGTTTGTCAATATTCACTTGTACTGATGCAATAATTGATGTTGATTTTATTACTATAGCCAAGTGACATAGTTGTTAATTGGTTTTCTGAAGTTGCAATAGGTATCTTGTTTGAGGTCATTAACAATACTATACTCCATTCCTGGACAAATGGACACTGAGAGATAAACATGCTGCAAACTTCCATCTCAAGAAATGGAGGTGGCTAGGTTTGGAGACAGGAAAAGGCCAGTAGTTAGTTATGCCTACATGATACCACTGAGTGTAGC